TTAGCGTATGCTAGCATTAGTTTTAATAGACGTGCTATGCTAGCTACGAGCTAGATACACACGTGTCCAGATTGTGAGAAATTAAATCAATAATATCACAATATGAACTTTTAAATGTACTGACGATTGATTAAAATCACCATAGGATATTGGCTCTGATATCGAAGCAAATGGCAAATAGCAAATCAACATCATTGACTGGAGTTTGAATGAACGACGTTCAGTCAGTCAGTCCCTCCCTGCCAACAAAGTCTCATGCATCACATTGCTGTGCATGCTAACGCTAACTGTGATCCACGCCAACCGACGCATCTGTCAACTGAAACTCTACTACTTCATAAAAAATACCAGGTGCCTTTTCAAGAAAGCGCAATTGTATGACCAACTCGCACGATACAGCGAAGATGTGGCTAATCTTTCCGTGCTCATTGGTCGATTTTTTCAAGTCTCTCTTGTCTCTCTTACCGGCTCCGATGTCGCCATCTTGACAGTAGAAATGTTCTGCCCGTTCAGCGCTCCCTGCGTCACTCCCCAACCACTCACACTCCTACGGAAGCCGCTTCAGTCCAGTTTAGGGTGTGTGACATGAAATCAAGAAGGGCAGTGGTGTATCAACTCTATAATTGCCCTAAAGGTTAAATCACAGTCCTTGTGTTCAGCACTAGATCATTTCTACTCTTCAAATTAAGATGCTAAAATATTTTGAATGAACACCTTCACCTCACCTCACCTCACCTCACTCAGTGTACCAGTTTAAATGTGTCATCATGATAAACAAGGACACTGTCACAGCAGAGTAAGAGTAACTGCATTGTTGGACCCCAAGTTTCTGAGCGCCAATAATGAAAAATGAAACAGTAATCTTACATTGTGGTATTGCTGTTTTACTTTAGTAATGGATCTGTGCAGAAGTACATTTTCTGCCATTACCAATTCAATGACATAGAGGACATTTAACCTGGCCACTTGACTGTCTCCCACCTGAGCAGGACATGGACCTTACAAGATTGGCAGACGCATACACATACAGTACATTAACATCCAATCTGGCGTCCCATGCTCTCCTGTAGTCCTTCTTAATTTCTGCTGGCTGTTCAGTCACACTAAATGGAGACAAATCCAGCCACTGCTTCTGTCAGGTGTCATTTCAACAGCTGTGCCCTCAGGATGTTTGGCTCTGATGTGCTCTACTCTTGGGGGTCAATGACGCAGTTACTCATACTTGATTGTGACACAGTGTCCTAGTTTATTCTGATGACACCTTTTAACTGGTACACTGGGTGAGGTGAAGGTGTTCATTCCAGATATTTTAGTATCATGTATTTGAACAGTAGAAGGGATCCAGGGCTGAACACAAGACCTGTGATCTAGCCTTTGAGCAATTATAGAGGTTGAATGTACACTCACCGTGTTCTTTATTAGGAACACCATACTAATACTGGGTATGTCCTTACAGGGTGGGGTAACAGCCTCGCTTCGGCTTTGCAATAACTGCTTAAGTATGATCAAGGTGATACTTCCTTAGGCCGAGATTTGGGAGGTTTAACCATGATGATATTGTAGCTGTTTGAGCATTGAGCAATGCCCTTAGCTTTTGCACATGTAATATACAAAGTGTGTGGTGTGGACTGCCCAACAAATGCATTGCTTGGGCATGTCTTCAGAGTGGTCAGAATGAATTCCTTTCCTTTTATGGCCTAAAATTGTTTGTAGTTTCACTATAGTTAACTACACAAAACAGCAAAAAGGCTATTTAACTGCTTAAATCACTATGCACATGTGAATGTAGATGAGCTGCTGTACTCCCCAACACTGGTGGATAAGGAGACAGTAAGAAAGTCTGAGGACATCTGGTGGGTGAATGGAGTATGACAGATGAATGTACTGTATAAAACAAGAAAGCCCAGAGATGAATTGTGACACTGTTGCCACATAATTGACTAATTAGACAATTGAATTCACAAGCAGGTGTACAGTTGTTCCTAATACAGTGCTTGGTGAATGAATGAACAGCTTGTTGTTGGCAGATGCCATGAGTTGAAGCATCACAATCGGCATCAATAGAGAAAACATTAAATGGTGCATCTTTCCTTCGCAACAGTTCATATCCAACTACAATGGTGTGCATAGTTTTATCTAAAAACTGACTTGTGTGGTAAATGGCAATAATAATAGTGCAGATTTTCTTTAGATTTGACCAAACTGCTGCTCTCTTGTGTTTTTTGAAAGTAAGTCATCTCACTGAGTCAGGAGCAAATGAATTTTACATCCGATATCTGATAGAGAGAAAAAACACATCATATTAATAGTTCTGGAGAGAAATTGTATAAAAACAAGAAGTGATTCATCTCAAATCACTAAGAGGGCAAAGTCTAACTTACTGACTACACTGAAATTCCTTAGAAGTGAGTCATACAGTATGCTAGTGTGGGATATTCAGACAGAAGAAGAAAAAAAAGAGTAATTTTGAACAAAAATGAGCCAATAGAATGTGTTCAGTTTGGATTGTTAAAAACGGGTCTACTGCATATGTCAGTTATTATATGATGCAAGCTGTCAGAGAATAAGTGCTTTAAAAAGACATCACATGTAACTGAACTAAACTGTTAAATCATCTTTATCACACACATTTTGTACATAAACATTAACAACAAATCAGGACACAGGAAATCATGTTCAGGTCCAAAATATAAATATGACTTTATTTCACAATCCCGAAAGAGATCAGCCATCCATAAAAGGAATGCTAAATTTAGTCTCTTCTCAAGTCTAAACTGTATATACTTTCAGCAACGTACAGTAATTCAGTTTCAAAATAAGCAAGATCATCCATTGTCTAAACACCATTAACAGTACAGTAAAAACAATATGGTTCACCTACATATTTACACATTTTCTACTAATAAAAGTTTTTTTTTTTTTCAGATTTCTGAATGCTGGTGCTAGTTGTTAGTTCCTTGTTGATACAAAGACTTTCACTGTGGACTGAGAATGTGTTCCACAGTAAATCAAAAGAAACATTTAAAAGAGTAACTTTGTCAAGTGATGTTCAAAACTGTTCCTTCTAAATCAGCTGATTTAAAAAACTGTATACATTCATTTCATTCTGTGTGTACGTTGTGATTTTTGAGAGTTGCTGGAGAGTTGGGTTATCTGTGGAAGACATTTGAGCTCTAGATGCACATCTGCACAATAATTTGCTTTTTTTACTGATACTTGAAAGAAATCATGATTAATGGTGGGATACCAACGCTGCTCAGTCTATGCTCAGTCTATTGTCACCCAGTAATCATCCAGAGAAATTATACAAACTAGCTTTGTATTGAGTCATATATCAGATCAGTGTGTGCGGAGTTTCAAAAAAAAGCACCATGCCATCACTGTTCAGCATATAACCAGGTTAAGTCAATGCATGTACCTTGACATCTTGTCCTATTAGCACCAAAAGGAAGTCAAAGTGTGTAAAAGACCAAAAATAATGTTTCTCATAGGAAATGTTATTCCACCAGTGTTAGTGTGAACATCAGTGAAAGGTTTTTATCGGTTGTGCTGGAATTTCATTGATGAAAAGCTTCTCTTTAATGGGTAAAATAAAAATAAAACAAATAAAAATCCTGATCCACCAGGAGTTGACACCAACCCCCTTATTCAGACCCTGTAAAAAAAAGCTATCTGTAAACAAAGTCTTCACAGGGGTCGAGCACCCGAAATCGTCTTAGGCATTTGTCTGAGTGGGATCTGAGTGGTTTTCCAACAAAAGCAGAGAGGAGGCAAAAAAAAAAAAAATAGTTTGATTATTCAGCATTGGCTAACAGTTTCATATTCAAATCCAGAGTATGGACATAAAAACTGGTAATATTTTGTTAACATGTCTGACACTGTGAGTTACTGTGAGGTCTCATTAGCACCATTAAAATGTACAGTAGATTTTTGAAATCCTATTATCACTCGTGCCCTATGAAACTTTTTGAATTCCTTTTCCAGAAGGTGAATACAAGTTAAGTGCCAGTAATGATAAGCACTCCATTGTTGCAGCATTTTCTGATTCCTCATTCTGCTAAGTTTTGAATTTCCTTAGATATGTATGCCATTTTCACTGAAATGAATGAAAATCAAATAAATGCAAAAAACTGTAAAAATAAAGCAAGGTTCATGCTAAACTGTCATATATATCTCTATCTGTACATACATATTCAGGCCTATGGGTTGGGACCTTTTTCAAGTTAAGTTTAGGAAAATAAAAAAAGTGCTTCTTTATATGCCATACATATCTGTGAATAAAAGACAAACCATCCAGACGCAGAGAAAATAAACAAAACAACAAACCAAAGAAGTACATTTCTTTCATCAACTGCCAACAGAAGTCAGAGGCAGCAGAAGGAAAAGCACAATGCTACATGTAACAATCTGTAGTAAATATATGCACAATATTAGTCTTGTTTTCTACATTGTGTGATGTAATGAGTTTGCTTAACAAAGGTTACAGTGAGAATGGCACCAATGTAAAAGCCAATAAGATTCCTCTTATGAAAAGAGAAGTATTGGCTGAAATAAAGAGCATAGTCCTACTGTACAACATAAATTCGTCAACACATAATGCAGGTTATCATAGAAATCTTGCAGTAAACAGGCTTACACCAGGAATTAAATAGAAATCGTTATGATCACAATAAATAATCACATCTTTTTTGTTCTTAATCATGTATATAAAACCAGTTTAAAAACGTCTTTAAAATGCTTCAAAGCACCATCTCTTTACAATAAAAACCAACACCGAAAACTCACAGTTAAAAAGCCAATAAACTTTGGTCTTCCTCATCACTTTGAAGGCAGAGACGAAGAAGGACAAAGTGAACAACGGATATTAGAAAAGCACAATGAAAATGACATAAAAATGAGAGTAGCAGTTTGAAGTTGGTTGAGGTAAGGCAGAAGCACAGGATGTAGGAGTTTTCTGTGTGTGTGTGTGTGTGTGTGTGTGTGTGTGTAAATCATGTTGACTAAGTCCAGCGATTGTAAGGGCCCGTCACTTGAGTAAGAGCATAAGGGGACACGGTGATGACACCATCCCTCGGGAGGGTCCATGCTTGGCGTGTGGGGACATTCATGACCCTCCTTGTCTCCTCTGTCTCCTCCCCTGTCTCCTCCTCTAGCTCCACACCTCCCATTCCTTTGCCATTCTTCCCCACACTGCTCGGGCTGTCCCCCATCCTTAATCTCTCAGCCTCCTCCTCCCTATCCCGTTCCCTCTTAGCCATTTTGGCGTCCCACATAGCCATCCCGTGGCCTGGCTCATTTAGAGACTTGTGCTGGTAGAAGACCAGGGAGATGCGGGTGGGGTGGCTGCGGTTTGGCCTGAGGATAGGGGTGGTGGCATGGAGCTCCCGCCGTGCACACTCTATGAGGATGGAACCGTGTGATGGTGCCACAGCGACTCCGCCTATGTCGTGGTCCAGGAAGTTGTGCTCGCTGTCTGACCACACCTCTTCCTGTTTAACTTCCTCTGGCTCAAGATGGAGAGTTTGTGGGGGAAGCTGAAGAGATGAGAACGGAGGGAGGCCATGACCCCTGACCTCTGCCGTGACATCTCCTGCAGCCCTGTGGAGTCCATTGAGCCTGCTGAAGAGGCCCTCAGAGGTAGGTCTCGGGGAGAAGGAGGAGGGAGGAGGAGCACTCCCACTGGGGGTGGGTCTGCGCAGAGGAGAGCAGTGCTCCTCGTTGGGCTCAGTTTTAAAAGTACAGGGGTAGTCACTAAGGGCATTATGTGGAGGTATACGTTCTGACTGAACACTCTGGTCACCAGATGCTGGAGAATAACCATTCACGCTGTCACTCATTGTCTTATAACAGAGAGCTGAGCCGTTCTGTCCAAACTGGAGGCCGTGGTGGTTGGGGGAAACGATCTCCCTCTGTGGGGTGACTCCGGGACCCGGAGTGGGGTAGCTGCTGGTGCTCTGGCTGTAAGTGCTGTGTTGGTTCCTCTCTGGTGGAAACCTTCCAACGCTGGCAGGTCTGGGTGGTATTCTGTATGAGCTGTAGCAGCCCTGTGGATCTGTGGATGAAGAAAATACTGACGTAATAATCAAAACACATTTATACATTTTGACCTCAGTATATTAATTGTTTAAATATATTAACAGCATGACCACAGACTTGGATTGACTACCTTTGTTGGGGGTTTCGTTTTTCACTTTCCCAGGAGTGAGAGTCAGCCCGAGCTTCTTCTCCAGTCTCTCTGCTTGAGCCCTTGCCTTAGCTTCTTGCCTTATCTTACGGGCTGATTTCACTGGCTCAGCCAGTAGACGCACCTGATAAATACAGAAAAAATCAGTCATTTAAAACATGATACATGTTTTAATTTTCTTATGCATTTTTGCAAAAAGGACTCAAAGCACTGGCATTGCAGTTAGAAAAAAAAGAAAAACAACATAATAACGAATAGCAAAGCTGCCTGTCTGTTCCCTCACCTCTCGGGGAAAGGAAGACAGAACTTGCAGAGCACCACTCTGGATTTTAGCCCACTGGCCCTCAACCTGACCAAACTCATCCCTGTCAGAGATCTTGTAAAGTGGCAGAACATGGAGCTGCTCATCTTCTGGTATGTTACGCACTGCACGGTTATCTTCCTTGGTTAAAGTGCAAACCTGGACAAGGACACAGGACAAAAGGCAAGTTGTTCAACCAAACAGTAGGCAATTTCCAATCAATAACTCAAGAGACTGAACCAAGTCTAGAAGCAATGACCTTTGAAATAAGTTGGGGGTGCATTTAGACACATGATATAGAAGTAGACTGCATGATGTCACACTCATTGCTTGCTTACCACAGTGCTGCCATTATTCATGTTGTGAGTGTCTTTGTGAGCGTGAGCACAGAAATCCACACAGGCCGTGACCCCAGAAAACGGACGTCCCATCCTTGATCCCAGCCGGCATCCCTCCCCTGTCTCCTCATGTTCCACCTATGAGAGGTGAAAGGACAAGACATGAGAAGAGTCTGGTTAGTGGTGGAAACGGTAAAAGACATGAGGAAAGTTTTCTTGAACAAAATGAAGCTTCACCCAACAATTAAGGTGATAGTTAGTGGAAATTCTATTTGAAATTCATTAATACTGGGCTAAGAAAGCTAGGTATTATCAGAGGTAAGTGTGACTGTTTAATGTTTCATACCTGGTTTTGAAAGGCCTCAGGAGCCAGTCTTTTGTAGAGTGGTGAGAGGTCAGTGGCGAGACTCTGAAGGTTATTCTCTATTTTCTCCTCCTAAAAGTAATAGATAAATGTCGTTTGGGGGTGAGTAATAGCTTTAATAAACTGTTCTGAAGACAGCTGTGATAGTCATAAGCCACTTGGAGGCAAATGTTTGGCAAAGATTTGATCAACTAGGTCTGCTTTATGGCAAATAAAATGCATAGAAGCAACAGAACTTCCAAAATAAACATCATTATAACACCACAAATAGGAGGGATTGTAATAGATGATTTCCTCCAGGATTTTTGCAAGCTGACCACTCCCTCACCTCCTCCCTGTAGTCTCCAAGCAGGCGAAACTTGCGGGGCACTTTGCTGCGGGCAAACTTACAGCCATTGAAGTACATACTCCAGGAGCAGCCAAAGGAAAACGAAGCTCCACATGTGTCTGGATCCAGACCCTGGCATGCACATGTACGACTGTGAAGATGGAGAGGAGGGGTTGTTAGATAAAGAAGCAAACAAAGCTGGGAAGAAGTAGTGTCACTGCCTAACAAGACAAGAGGCACCCACTCTTCATTGAGGGCACAGCGACGGCTGGTGGGGGAACCATATTTAAAAAGTGTCTCTGTGAGCTCCTGGTAGAGGTGGTCCGCCACCGGCCGAGAGATTCCCTCCCAAGCCAGGATGAGGATCACCAACACAGCAGTGTCACAGTAGTGCCCTGGCCTCTGGCGGACCAAACACAGCAGCTTCTCCTCTTCGCTACCACGCCGGATCACCTGTCAGATGATTGTGCGCACATACATACAGAAAACAAGCAGGTTGTAACAGACGAACAACAGCACTGTAACAAATATAGTAAAAACAAACATTTTAAAACAATATCACAAATTTATGGATCCCTTTGACCTGAAAGATCAGGGTGGTGGCATGGAAAATGGTAATGTTTACATGTAGACATTGACATATATTCACATATATTTAGGGATATTTAGGGATGGGAGAGAATTTCATCTTTGCCCCTAATTATACCACGGTGGGATCCACAAAAATACAGCACTAGCATGAACATGAGCCACATACCCATTTAGCTATTGGACACCCCTGGGAGCTCTTTCCTTCCTTCCCAGTATAAACGACAACTTCCACCCTTACTGCATTTCCTTTGGTACCGTACCTGTGACGTATACACAACACAAAGGCAAACCATACATGTGTGCCATAAATCACAGAGAACAAATCACTGACAACACATATCATAAAACATTTGATTGCTACCCATAACTGATGACACATTAACAAATCAGCATCACATTATTTTAAGTCCCCCTATTTAGCAAGTAGAAGAACTTAATACATGGTTACATGGTTAAATACATAACACACTATAATGTAGTTGAGCAGATAAAACTGTTTATTAATGTAACTGTCAACAACTGTAACTCCTCCAGCTTCACTTATAAGTGGAGGCTGGCGTACAAACAGATAATTAATGACAATATAGTAAAACGCAGTTGTAATAATATCATCATCATTTCTTTATAATTAATTAATAAATAATAATAATTAATATAAAATAGGAGAAGTTATAATTGTTGACAAATACAGTACATTAATAAACACTTAAAATGACATTAAAGCTGCTAACAACTTCATTATGGTGTGTTATAAACCATTTATTAAGGTTCATCTACTGCTTATAAATGCTACACAGGGAAACTGAAGTGATCAAATATTTGTGCCCACACCTGCAATAATATATTCCAAAAAAAAAAAATGCATTTGTGAGTGAATAACCCATTAACTCCATGATTCAATTTTTCAGTTAAGAGTGGCTGTCAGATGAAGTGTGATGGACCTGAAGTTGTGTTAAACAGGCTGTGGTCTCGGTTTACGGGCCCCTCGTCTCGGCTCAGGGGGTTTCCTGTTTCAACATGCTGTGTGTGTTGTGTGTAGTCAAGACAGAGCGTGCACGTGTTGAACTAGCTCAGCAACGCTTCCTTTTAATGACAGACTCTTTGGTGTGTGACCCTGCCCCATTCCACCAAGCCTGTGGTTGACTAGCAGGCTCTCATGTTTGATAGTAAGCACACCCACAAATACACACGCAGTGTAAACAGAATGGTAGTAGTAAGATACTCTACCGGTTTTCCATCAATTCCCTCACTGCAGCAACACTAGGTCCTGCCCCAAGGTGAGTGTAGTAAGGGCCTTCCTCCTTTTCAATGATTTGATCTGCGGAAAAAAACATAAAGATCTATTGGATCTGTGATGCTGGTATATTTTGGAGAAAAAGTAGTGATATATGATATGATGACATATATGATTACACATATTCTTTATAAGGGAGTCAGATTGATATTAATGTGATGTGCACAGTAAGTGTAGCTGGAATCAGTTCAGGAGCCACCACCTTGGAAGTCCACATTTCAAGACCAAACACATCATAATGGGTCAACAAGGCTGCACAAAGCCTCCCAAAGCCTCCTCCAAATATGGCAGAGAAATGCGGCCTTCTTTTGCTTGAATTGGCCCTTGAATTAGGGCACAGCTAGTGTGTGTGTGTGTGTGTGTGTGTGTGTGTGTGTGTGTGTGTGTGTGTGTGTGTGTTTGCATCAGAGTAAGAGAGGAAATGAAAGTCAGTTTGAGGTCAAAGAACAGCAGATTTACTCATTAAGTGGAGTACATCCAATGTGACACCAATGTACAGTAGATGTAACAGACTTGACTTCTTCTGAAAAAACTTAGGGAGCAGCAACTCACCCATGCATTGACAGGATGGAAGATCAGCCACTTTTTTGGAAGGTGTATTGAGCAGGTTCTTGGTAGGGGTATCCAAAAAACTCATTGGAGACTCCAGAAAGCTGTTGATGCTGTTCTTGGATGGAGTTGACTCTGCAGAGTGGCCCAGATCCCCATCAGTAGCCGTGGACAGGACAGTGACAGGTCCTGCCTTCTCCAGCTTGTAGTAGCCCTGCTGGCTTGGAGGAGGGGACTGCCGAGCCCCTGAGAAGCCATTAGCCAGACCATGGTGCCCGGCGGTGTGGCTAAGGAAAGCGGCATTGGCTGGGCTGTTGTTAGGATCAGCACCGTGTTGCAGCCCACCAGAGGGCTGCGCTACCTGAGTTAACAAATGCCTTTCGCACTCCTGCTCTGGTCCCGCAGGATGACCATTGCATGGATTGTGTTGGTGGAGTGGGCCGTTTGTAAGGGACCATGGCTGGTTTTCTTGACCACAAGTGTAGTTGATCCTTGTGAGAGTGCTGTAGTTCTGTGGCCCTACAAGGGCTGTATTGTGTGTGTTACTGTGATGGATGAGTTGCCTCCTTTCCTCCTGAGCCTCAGCCAAGTATCTCTTCAGGTCAATTTGAGCCTGAGGCAGAAACAGGTTCCTCTTGTGGTGAAGGCCTGATTTCCCCTGTGGGAGAATCTTCTGGCCTCTGCCCCTGTGGGGTGTCTCTCCATTTGGCATGCGTTTCGAGAGGGGAGTCCTGCGGCTGACTCCCTCATTTAGTCCATCACTTGTCTTCTTCTTTCTGGGCTTGGAGGGTGTAGCTTTTGCTTTTTTTATGAGGGTCTTTTTCTGACTAGATGGTAGCTGGGAGTTGTAGGTGTATTTGATGGCTGATACAGGTGTTCCTTTTGGAGGGTTGTTCTCTGACTGCTGGCTGTGTCGCGCCTGGATGATGAAGGCCAGGTCTGCCAGCTGAGCTGCCACTTCCTCCTCATCTCTGTTTCTCCTGAACCTCATGTCACTGGGATCTTTGTAGCTGCATTCTGACTTGATGACATGAGAACCAAAGCCCTGCTCTGTCCTCCTGCAGGGTGCTCTATCACTGTCGGAGCTGGCCTCTAAGAGATCCTGCAGAGATGGTTTTGTGTTAGAGTTTGACCCCCGGGAACACTGGATGACATTCCCTTGTCTGGCCACAGGAGGGCGTATGACTGATGTCTGGTGTAGTGGTGAGCTTATGACCGAGACTTTGTTGTAGCGGATAGCCACTGTGGGTTTGGCTTCTTGCAGGGATGTATTTGTGTTGGAGGTTGAAAATGGGGCAGCAGTAGAAATGGGATGTTCACACTTACTTTCAGCTTTAATGGACCCTGGGGTGCTTTCAGGTATAGCTGCCAGCTGAGTCAAGGCCTCAATAGCAATAGCCTGATCAAAACTAAGATTTCTCTTCTCTGCCAAAGACTGCACGCTTGGTAGCAAGCTACTTGGAGGAGGTTCACTTTTCATAGGCTGGGGAGTCCTTTGCAGGCTAACAGGAGTGCTTTTCTGACACAAGTCAATCTTTAAGTCCTCTGGCTCTTTTTTGACGAAGTGCAAATCTGGCGGCTCTGTTTTGATGAAGCGAAGAATGGAAGAACTTGAGCAGAAGAGTTCCTCCTCCAATCCCTTCCTCTCTGTGACAGAAAGACACACCACGGCAGCCAGTGTGGACAGTGGGTCTTCGCAGACCTCATCTTCATCCCTCCGCTGTGTGGTGGGATGTTCAGTGATCCAGGTCCACGGCTCCTTCAGCTTGATCTTCTTCAGTGGAACAGACATGTCATCTGGAGGAGTCTTAGGTCTGTTCTCAGAGCAGTCCTTAGGAATTGCAGCTATTATAGTCCTTTGAGGCTCTGATGTCATCACAGTTCTTTTAAATGCAGACTTCAGATTAGAGTGTGACCCAGTGGTCATATTAGCACCATTAGGTTTTGTCAGGTTCTCAGCAGAACCATTCTGTAAAGTCACAGAAGAGCATACTTGTTGGTGAAGTGCAATGCTGGTCAGCTCCAGCCCGGGCTCTCTTTTAAGTGCTGGCTGTCCGACTTGGTCCGAGACCGGGTTATGGGTGAGCGAGTCGTCGATGGGGGGAGGTTGTGTGTAAGGTATGTGGCCTTCCTCCCCCTCATCCTCCTCTGCTGCCGTGTGGGTGTCATCCATCTGTGCCTTGCCTTTGCCATTTACCGACCCACTCTCTGGAACCACCTGAGACAGAGAGACAGAGAGAGAAACAAGAGGAGAGAGGTGACTCAACAAGCTCTGGCAGTATACAGTGATTCAGCTTGTTCTAAACAGTCACGGCACACAGCACAACAGATTGCCTCCCAGCATGGCATGAGCATCTGCTGCAGCCACTGTCAGGCCTGTGGAAAATATTATGACATGTGAAAACAAAGAATCTGCTTTCTATAAATCTTGCTGAAACCGATATCTAGACAGAGTTAAAAAAAAAACTTAAACTACGTTAGATCAGTCGAGGCTTCAATCAAGACTACATTACTGCCTGGGCTGTGGAGTGTTGAGAGCCACAGACCCACAGGTAGCAGAGAGCCAATGAGTAAACATTTGGAGTCACGCACAGTTCAAGATTGCGTCACTACTGGTGGGTCACTGAGGGCATCTGTGCAACGTGCATGTACATGTCTTGTTTGTGCTGAGTTTGTAGGTGTGTTCCTGAGCATGCATGCATGTGCATGCAAGCACATGTGATTATTCACAGCTGCCTTAGTGATTAACCCACTAGGGTTCTTATCCACATAGAGCTTCACTACAGCACTGCTTGACCCCTCAGCTAAGACGGATTCTGACTGCCAGTGGAGCTACGACCATGTAAAGGTCCAGAGTACTGACATATTGATTGCCCCCAAAAGCAGTGCTTGAATACACAATATCATAGACTATTTTGAGTGCAGACAATAATAGCCATTAATCTATAAGCAGGAACAAAATCAATTTGGGGAGAGAAAGAAGTTAAGGCAGTGTTATCAAAGCAAAGTCTTTTGCCACTGCAGTGTGCCAGAGTAGCAGTAGTTTACATGCTATCTTAGAAACTAAAAGGGCACTAAAGGACACCCATTTTGACAAACCATAAATGAATGAATGAATTCAGTATTTCTGCAACTGAATACGTAAAAGCCCTCATTATTTTTCATCATCTTGACTAATCATATGATCAACTGAAGTTAAGTCAAGCTGTGTCTTATTTTAGGATTTAACCCAACATCACATTTACAACTAAAGCCTTCAGCAGTGAAAGACTGATTAAAAACGTTGCAGCGTGACAAAGATAAACTAGAATTACCGCCTTGTGGTTGTATGCCTATGCTTATCAGTCAAGTTGCAGTTTACATCTACTACTGTCCAGACTCATAAAATTTATGCAGTGAAGACTTCAATAAAAAAGGTACTAAGTAAATTTTCTATGTGCGATAAAGGGATATGTAAGTAAAATAATTTGACTTAACTTTGCTAAGCTTTTTGATTCTTGTTCTGCTGCATATCTGCTGTCCATGTAAATTCATTGAGAGAAACAAAAAACAGAAACAAATTCCTTGTATGTGTTCACGTTTCTGATAGAACACAAAGCCATGACAGTAGACAATGCTTCATATATGGATGTTGCTGCAAAGAAGCTACAAATTCTAAAACATGTATGCTTCACACACAGCACAGAGGATCTATACAGTCAAGGTGGGCACCCAAGATTATTGTCATCAGTTCAGTATCCATCCAAATGTGAAATTTGGTCACTATGTCCCCTTCTGTTCTATTCTGAATTACAGTGTTGAACAATGGCCAGAAAAGTGTTTTTGCAGAACATGACATCACAGTGAGGTTGACCCTATCATCACTTCATCATTTTATCCTATCCTTTAGACATTTGTGTGAAATTTTGCCATAATTTGGACAAATTCTTGAGATATCTCGTTCATGAGACCGGGACATACGGACGGATGGACAGATGGAAAATCCAAAAACATAATGGCTTTGGCCACAACACGGAGACATAACAAAACTGCATTATGTGCCAAGACTCAGCTGACAAAAGGATCTTAAACCTGTTTGCAGGACCTGCAGGGTATGTGTGCATTACTGTGAGCTGCGTGTACTGCATGTTTATGTGTTATGTGTGTGTGTGTGTGTGAGAGGCATCCCAGTTTTCCTCTAATGAACAAGCGTGACTGCAGGGGAGCTGGAGATATGTTCTTTATCACTGTTTACCTGGCATAAACACTCATTAAACTCCATCACTGCCACTGTTTTAATGCACTTTACAGCAGGAGGCGTACACTCCAAGCTGACAGATCAAGAGCAGCAACAGTACCTCAACATAAACCAGACTCCTATGAATGCACCGACCAAACACTTGAGTTCATGAGTTACATGTGCTCTGTTCAACTGACAGACCTGCTCTACCCCCTGAGCAACATCTGTCCATGTATTTACTGTGATAAAATAAACTAATCCTTCTGCTTTCTACAAAACAAGTGGTATGAAATCACAAAAATCAACCCAAAGCTGGAGCTGGGGTTTGTTCAAAGTTCTGACACATCTTAGATAAAAAGTGATTGAATTTCAAGCATGTACATTGAAAAAAAAAGAATTGAGCCTTTTGACACCCCACATCTGATGGCTGTTGATGAACTGTCATTCATGAAGAAGAAAGCATTGAAAAATGAGAGATGAAGTCTTCATCAGAGCTAAAAGCACTCAATTGAAGTTGGAAAATAAAAGGTGTTGAAGGCAGCGTTGAGGTCTAAGAGGATTAATACTGAGCAATCTCCTGACTCTAGACCTAGACTGTATTTCTAAGACAAGAAAGAATTGACAGAAGCAGCTGTGTGAATTGTGTTGCGTTTAGAGTTTGATTACGAATGTGGTGACAAAAGAGAATGAAAAAGTAAGGTTTTGTAGCAAAGGAAAGAGTAAAAAAACAATATTTGTTCAAGCTCTTAAGACAGTTAAAGCCAATGTTATTGGGAGAAAAATATACATATCTGCTTCTTCAACAATATTTTTTTCCCAGTCCATCTGCTGACATGGAAACCCCTTTTCTTTGCCTATGTGGGACTTGTAATGGTGAACCTGTTGTTTACCAGTGATGGCTAAATGTGATAACTGGAAGCTGTGCTGGAAATATTTCAACATGGCACCACCTTGTGTATGTTCTTGGCCAGTTATCCACAGGAATTCAAGGCACACTGCCAAAAGCTGTTTATTAAAATAATGTTATGGGAGGATTTTTCTTGTAAGCTGACATTGAACTGTTGTTTGACAATGCAAAGGAGAGTTGCAGCGACCACAGAGCTGTTCCTGATTCATAATAAAATGTTGAGATCAGACATGATTAATATGGTGGAGCTGATTTATCACCAAGTCTTTTCATGGATGTGATCCCTCTCTGATCCATTGCGCTTTCTCCCCAGCCCACTGCACTCTGTCAGGACTGTGGCTCACTACTAGAAACGCACTGCTGATGCAACAGATAGCTGGAGCTCAGGCTGAGGCAATACCGAAACTGCCAATGCAACAGGGTGAGATACCTGCTCCGCACAACACGTGGAAATGGTCCACGGCACCATTCAAATGAGGCAGTGAGAAAAAGAGGGAGAAAGATGGGGAGCAGGGAGAGAGCGAGAGAGGGAGAGGGGGGAAAAGGCAGTGTGTCTGCCACAATAAACTGCTTTCAATGACAAAGCAGCACTGGCCAGCTTCCAGCACTGCACCAGACACACGCGTGTCTCTATGCATGTGTATGTGTGTGCCTGACTGTGCATCCATTTGTGCATCCAAGTGTTCATGATTTGAAGCTGACATCAAAGTACAGCCCCTGTTTTTAATTATGTTGCATTTAGCCTTGTGATAACAAAAAGCCTAATTCAGGATGTAAATGCAGAGTCATGTGCTCTCATTTAGCCACTGGGTCTCTGGAGAGAGCTGGGTCTGTGATGTGTTAGGGCTGTGTCTTTGTGTTGTGCATGTTGTGTCTGCCTCGGGGTGTCTCAAGCCACTCGCACTGTACTGTGCTGTTTTAAATGCAAACACAGTCTTCTTCCTTTGTGTTAGACAAACACTTACCCAACTGCCGCGCCTGTCAAAGCTTTAAAAATCAACAAAACTTGCTAGAAAGTGTAGCTAAACATCCAGAGACCAACCCTAACAACAGAAGTGTGACCGCCGCTTGAATCCTAACAACCCTCTCTCAAGAGATGAGTCTCCAGGGAGGTTTGGAAGTGGTGTTTATCCATTCTTACCTCAACACAAACAAACTCGCATAATCAGCGGTACATATAAACATGTTCACATTTATGAAAACAATTCAACTGAACAACTCAGACAGCAAAAAGACAGCCCCAAATTTGCAGGTAACTTTTAGCTTTGTTCCTTTTGTTCACTTTGTGCAGAACTCATACATCTCCTCCTCACAACGCTCTTCACAATGAAACACTGAAAAAGCACGCTTCCTTCCTGGCTGAGAGTTTAAGTAGTGGTTTATATGTGTTTCTCTCAACACGTGAAAATTTCCTTCATTCATTAAGAGCGTTTCCTGTGTGCTCTCAGCTCAATGTCACGTAGTCAACACACAAAACATAATACATAATAGGAAGAGTGACAAAGACGGCGTTATAGGTGGCAATGAACCTAATAAAACTTGAAAGAACTGGCTCCACAGTACAGCGTGAATCAACAATAAAATTATACAGATTAAGACGGCATCAGTAACAGAGCGACCTTCTCTACAAACCGCACAATAATAATACCATTACTACTGCAGCCAAACAAGTAAAGCCTGCCAAATTACAAGTTACGACCCAGGGCTTACAAGCACTCCACTTCTCTGCTAAGCAGTTGGAAAACAGCAGGTGTAGAAATATGGCTGTCCAAAACACTGCAAGAAAGAAAAGGGGAAGCAAAGGGGCTTCTCATACAACGCAACGGCTAAAAAAGACATGCAACGGGGAAAGAGAAGAGGGGTGTCTGTTACCGTGGAAACTGACCTCTTTGTTGCTGACTTTGTTGTCACATCCTTTAAACCCACCTGGAAAAGACAAGCCAAACACACAGAAGCCCAGATCCTCAGTGATTCAGTAGGAACAATAACAACACCAGCTTCCAAATAAAGCGCTCCAATCAGCTAAATCCAGGGTGGCAGAGAGAGAGAGAGACAACAGATGATAACCTCTAGATGAGCTCCACTGTAGCTG